CTTTTTCTTTTTTTTTTTTTTTTCAAAATTCTTTGATCAATAGAAAGTTCAAAAGAACATAATGTATTTAAAATAGAAATATTTTATGTCATTATAAATGTCTACGGTCTTTTTTTATTTTATCATTTTAAGCATCCTTCTTGAAAAATAGTATGACATTATGACCGAATGACATCAACAATGACGTCTTCATAATATTTGCTCACTGAATTTCAATTAATCTTCTCTCTTAAATCTATTTGCATACTTTTATTGATTAGTCTTGTCTTTCTTGTACATATTTTGTCATTTAATCACATGCTGATCACTGTGACAACAGCAAACTGACTCTGATGCTACATTTCATTTACACTAAAACCTAAAACATAAACCTACCTATAACTTTAACACTATAACTGTTTTCGCTGCCTTACAAGTGCTGGTATTTCCTTCAGGAAACACATATCTAGTTATCAGTTGCGTAATGAAAAAAAAGACCTTTTGTGTTTGGATGTTTCAGTCAATCTTATTCTCATTGTTTGTGACACTTGCCCAAAGCAGCCTGTGAGCTCTCGGAGGCACTGAGGAATCTGATCCTGAAACTCTACTCTGATCATCTCTCTGAAGATGGCAAGGTATCGCACCGTTTCGCACACTGCATATCAAACGGATTCAAGACCATGTTCAATGGATTCGCCACAGACACAAACGCTACCTGCGATCAGACATTTGATGTTTGTGGCGGGTGAATAGACGCCACATTATTATGCTTTAAATAAGAAAGGTATGTCGTTGTGACCGTCTGATCTTCACTTTTGACCAGACAGTTGATTACAAGGCCATGTCCCGGAGTCTGTGCTTTGAGCGGTACTGTGATCTAGCTGTCCACCTTCAGCGTGTGGAGCTGCTGTCTCTGAGTCGTGAAGAGAAACTGGCTTTCTTTATCAACATCTACAACGCCCTCGTCATCCACGGGAACCTGCGTCTGGGCTTTCCCAAAAACATATGGCAAAGGTATCGGGTAAGAGAAGAGGAGAACGTTCTGCTGGCTTGATTTTGCTGTTTTGATCAACAATAGAAAAAGGAAATGTGAAATGCTTTCAGTGCTTGTATATTTGGTCTCATGTTTTCCAGTTCTTCAACTATGTGAGCTACTTCATTGGTGGTGAGGTGTTCACACTGCAGGATATTGAAAATGGAGTGCTTAGAGGAAATCGCAAAGGTGTGGCACACCTCCTGAAGCCCTTTTCCAGGAACGACCCTCGACTGCAGGTATTCCAGGACGAGGATGCGAACTTTGTTCCCACTCCGGGTATATATTATATAAGTTTTTTTTAATGGGTATGTATGGTTGTAGGAAGAATCTTTAACATCCACGGAATCTTTGTTGTTCCATTTCAAGTTTCTTTTTAGAAGAAAAAGTTTCTTTAGAATATTAAAATTTATTTGCACTAAGAAAAATGGTTATTTTAAGAACTGAAAGGTTCTTTAGGAAACAAAAAAAGTTTTTTCTTTGGAATCATGGTAAAAAAAAAAACTATTTTGGAACCCTTTTTTAAAACTGTATGTCAAGTGTGAATTCTGATTTCTATTGCCTGTGATTTATGGCAGAAAGGTACCACATTTTTAGCAACAGCAACATTTTCAGTGGTTTAAGCAGTTTCAAGGTGAATTTGGAAATATTTCAGGTTTATTTTATTAAGCTTGTAAATCAGAAAATACGACTTTAAAATAAAATATAAGGCTGTCAAAAGACTGAAAATAGATTAAAATAATTAAAAAACAATTCACTGTAATTTTATATATATATATATATATATATAAATATAAATTATTATTATTTTTTTTGTAATTAATAGCTTAACCCATTTAGTGAAAAAATGATATGTGTAAGTCTAAACCTGTCAATTTATGTTGATTATACCAGTTTATACATTTCAAAAGTTTGGAGTCAGTAAGACTTTTTTTTATTTTTTTGTAATTTTTTTTGCTAATGGACCTTGAATCTGGAAATAAAGTTGAATTAATTTATTCAGCAAGGACACATTAAATGGATCAAAAGTGACAGTAAAAACATGTAAAATGTTACAAAAGATTTCTATTTCAAATAAATGCTGTTCTTTTGAACTATTTATAAAAAAATATATATATTATGACAGTACAACTGTCTTCAACATTGATAATAATAAACATTTCTTGAGCAGCGAATCAGCATATTAGGATCATTTCTGAAGGATCATGTGACACTGAAGACTGGAGTAATGATGCTGAAAATTCAGCTTTGATCACAGAAATAAATTATGTTTTAAAATAAATTAAGATAGAAAACAGCAGTTCTCTAAAATCGTAATAATAATATTTCACAATATTACAGTTTTATTGTATTTTTGATCAACTAAATGAAATACTTGTTGAGCATAAGAGACTTCTTTCAAAATCATAAAAAAATCTCACCAACCCCAAACTTTTGAATGGTAGTGTACTGAAACTGTGGAGGTAGTGAAGACAAGAAAGGCTGAGAAACACTGGAGTAAAAGATATCCGAATGTTATTATCATTAGTAATGCGTGTCTTCATCCATTAGGTGGCACTTCCTGATGTTGAGCCTCATTCATTTGCACTGAACTGTGGTGCAAAGGGCTGCCCTCCAATTAAGACATACACGCCACAGGTTAACATCCAGAATACTCTCAATTACAATACAGTCTATACATTCTTTCTGACAGAGTAAAGCATATGTGACCCTGGACCACAAAACCTTAAGTCGCTGGGGTATATTTTTAGCAATAGCCAAAAAAAAACATTGTATGGGTCAAAATTATTGATTTTTCTTTTATGCCAAAAATCATTAGGATATTAAGTAAAGATCATGTTCCATGAAGATATTTTGTAAATTTCCTACCATAAATATATCAACACGTAATTTTTGATTAGTAACATGCATTGCTAAGAACTTCATTTGGACAACTTTAAAGGTGATTTTCTCAGTATTTAGATTTTTTTTGCACCCTCAGATTCCAGAAGTGAAACTCAGCCAGATCTTCAAGTGGTACAAGGCAGATTTTGGAGGCACCGATGAGAAGGTATTACTAAAATACATCATCACTCTCGATTCATGCAAAGATTTCTATTTCAAATAAATGCTGTTCTTTTGAACTATTTATAAAAAAATATATATATTATGACAGTACAACTGTCTTCAACATTGATAATAATAAACATTTCTTGAGCAGCGAATCAGCATATTAGGATCATTTCTGAAGGATCATGTGACACTGAAGACTGGAGTAATGATGCTGAAAATTCAGCTTTGATCACAGAAATAAATTATGTTTTAAAATAAATTAAGATAGAAAACAGCAGTTCTCTAAAATCGTAATAATAATATTTCACAATATTACAGTTTTATTGTATTTTTGATCAACTAAATGAAATACTTGTTGAGCATAAGAGACTTCTTTCAAAATCATAAAAAAATCTCACCAACCCCAAACTTTTGAATGGTAGTGTACTGAAACTGTGGAGGTAGTGAAGACAAGAAAGGCTGAGAAACACTGGAGTAAAAGATATCCGAATGTTATTATCATTAGTAATGCGTGTCTTCATCCATTAGGTGGCACTTCCTGATGTTGAGCCTCATTCATTTGCACTGAACTGTGGTGCAAAGGGCTGCCCTCCAATTAAGACATACACGCCACAGGTTAACATCCAGAATACTCTCAATTACAATACAGTCTATACATTCTTTCTGACAGAGTAAAGCATATGTGACCCTGGACCACAAAACCTTAAGTCGCTGGGGTATATTTTTAGCAATAGCCAAAAAAAAACATTGTATGGGTCAAAATTATTGATTTTTCTTTTATGCCAAAAATCATTAGGATATTAAGTAAAGATCATGTTCCATGAAGATATTTTGTAAATTTCCTACCATAAATATATCAACACGTAATTTTTGATTAGTAACATGCATTGCTAAGAACTTCATTTGGACAACTTTAAAGGTGATTTTCTCAGTATTTAGATTTTTTTTGCACCCTCAGATTCCAGAAGTGAAACTCAGCCAGATCTTCAAGTGGTACAAGGCAGATTTTGGAGGCACCGATGAGAAGGTATTACTAAAATACATCATCACTCTCGATTCATGCACATGTGGTTTCATTTAAAGCAATAGTTCACCCAGAAATAAATAGTTCATTCATATTTATGTTTTTCCTTCTTTTTTTTCCTGTGTAACACTAAAGGAGATACTTAGCAGAATTTCCAAGCTGCTCTTTTCCATACAATTCAAGTGGTTGGTTCTGTCTTTAAACATACACTTGCTGAGTTATTAATGTTTTCTTTTTTAGCTGCTGAACTGGGTGTTTGACCATATGGGAGCATCACAGAAGAAGAGGAATCTACAGGCTCTGCTGTCAGAAGGAAAGGTCAAAGTGAGCTATTTGCCTATAACTGGTCTATAAACAGCACAGACTGAACTAAACCACATTCTCATGCACATGATCACTCTATCACTCACTTATTGTGGGTACTGTGTTTCTGCTGAACATGTTAAGCCAAGACAAGCGATTCAAATCAAAACTGTACGCTGAAACTATGCATTTCGATCCCTTTACCTTGTTCTTCCACCTCCCAAAGGGCAATGTGATACTGTAGCCTAATATTTCTAATGAAATTTTATACCTATAATTTTCCAAATTGTTTTGCAGTGTTTTGCACTGATTATTATGCAGTTACATGTTTTAAATATTCTCATGCAAGGATGTCTTTAATTTATCTGCATTATTATATGTATTGTACTGTATATATGTCGATTTCTTTTTAACATTTATTTAATATATTTCAGCAACACTATGAAAAGCAACAAAAAAAAAACATGGAGCGTAACGAAACATACTTTGCACAGATTTGACTATCGTGCAAATTTCTTGTAATTTACACTTTTTCGAAAGACCTCAAGGAAAAATTATATTTAATTTATACACACACACACACACATATATATATATATATGCACCAATTTAACAATACACAGTAATAAACAGCAATATTTACCCATGTATATTTTTACAAAAACATTAAAATATGACTAATTTGCGTATATATATATATATATATATATACATATATATATATATAAAAGATAAATTTGAAATATCTATCTATTCACAATGTTGTTTTAAAGAATACTTCAACGAGAAATGAACATTTTTGCCTTAATTTACTCACCCATAATATAACACAATATTATTTTCTTTTCTTCTATTAAACAAAAAAAGTGGATGGCAATTTAATTTATACTCCACCACAAAGGAAAAAAATGCATCTAAAAGTATACAATATGACTTTTAAGCTATATTCCAAGTCTTAAAAGAGTTATATGATAGCTTTGCATGAAGATTAGATTCAGATTATTCACTGATATTTTTAATTAGCTGTACATTGAGTGCTGGCCACTGTCTAGACGTGTTTCTTCTCAAAAGATCTGTAGGGAAATGCGTAGGACATGGACAATTTTGAGACATGGGTTCGTTTGTGGATCTTTCATGCTGTTTGTTGTACTGTTGACTCTCACTCTGTCTGAATGATGGATGTCTTCAGCAGAGAAGCGAGCTGCACACATATCAGTTCATCAGAATGACAGTAGCATCCAATACTTTTTGTAATACATGATGTTATTCGATCAGTTATTGAAAGGGTGTCAGGGCTGATGGAATCTCATAACTGGTTTCTCATAAACACGGCCTGTTTTGTATGATGCAGCTCAGTGCCTGATTTGATCAAGGGTTAACAAGAATTCCCATACTATTTTTATAGAAAATGAGATCCAGACTGAAACTTTCTGAAAAGTGATCCCTCATCTGTCTTGCTTCAGGCAGAGAAAATCCTCCAGAACTCAGAAGTCTTTTTTTTTTGAGTCTGTGAGCAACATGGATCTGGAAAATGCTGTTTTAATAGATGTTGATTTTCCTATAGGCATGTAATTTAATAGTAATGCATGTGATACTATAGAATAGTATTGCAAGGGCTGACGCTATGGGATGAGATGCACGAGTAAAATGAGTTTCAGTGCCTCCTGTTTCAGACAGTGCCTTTTCACCTCTGCATGAGACTCATAGAGTCATATTACTCCACTTGACCGCACATCCCATTGCTTCAGGAAATCAGTTCATTTGAAACTTTCATCTGCAAGCAGAGAGATTTCTGGATCATAGCTCACCCATGAGAAGGTCCCAGAGTTACCTCATCCTTTTCTCTTTCACTGTAAGGAAGGATATCGATGCAATGCAATCACCCTGAAGTAAATGTCAAGACTGGACTGATTCTTATGCATTGAGATTACTTATATGATCTAGAGCCATACTGTACTGTCTTTTATAAATAAACTACAATGATAAAATATGAAGAAATAAAATATATGCAGTGGACATTTCATGTGCACTTATTTTTGTTGAAATGAAAAGCAGGTGCCAGATTTGTTCTATGTAAATAATAATATGCAGCTTAGCATAATGCATGGTTACAGCAGAAAATAAGTGAATCATGTTTAAAGAGAATTGTTTAAGTCTAAGGCTTTAGGTTCAGTGAAGCTGTATTTTGCAGCAAACTCCTCTGTCACTTGGTAGAAGCAACCAAATTAGACAGATACAACATGGACAGGTTGTGTGACATGAAGTGTGCCAGACACAGATATTATGCATTATTGACTGCTGAGAGCATGAAGCCATTGAAATTTAAGTCATTTAGAAACCAAATAACATGCAAAGCACATTTTTGCATATTGTTTTGCCTATGCAGTTCGTGGTAATATTAATAAAATTTTTTTGGTTTCTTTTTCCAGTGAATAATTTTGGGTTGCCACTTGATGTCCAATGTATAGTCTGGATTCTGAAGCAAAAACAGTTGAAAATCACTGACTTGTTGCAGTGTGTGTGATATTCAGGGGGAGGCACTGTTGCTTTATGTTCAATTTCACTAAAACAGTGCATGTTTATGTACGTTTATATACAGATCTAATAATGATCAATGAAAACGAGAACTGTTTTTTTATGTATATATTATGCAACCTTTTTTTTAAGCTTTGGTATTTGCATTTATGATAACAATCTGAGTGAACAGTGAAACTGAAAGTTAACATGATCTTTAGTTTTTGGTTTGTCTCTCTTTTGCTTTCAGGTACAGCAGCACTTGAGCTGCATGAACTCCACAAGTTTGTGTAAAACTTTTATCATGTTCTCCAGTATGATTTGATATGATCTAATGAAGATGCGATAAAGCAAAAACATCTGTCTGTATGCACAAATGAGTCACATGCAGTGACATTTTAGTATCATTTAGAGATACTATTATAGTTTTTATTAGTATTTTGAATCAGTTTTTATTTTAATATTTTTACTACATCATGTTACCAACAAATAGCTGAAATGAAATAATAAATAAATAAAATATTTCAGTTAACAACTTTTTATAACGTTTTATTTTTAGTCAACTATGATAACCCTGGTCACATTTGTGACCACACATTTGATTAGTGACTTAGAAATGGTGCAGAACCTTAATGATTTTTTATTTATTTTACTTTTCTTTGTTTTAAGTTTTTTTTTCTAAATCCTAAAAGTCAATGCCATGTTTAAATTCTCAGATTCTCAATGTGGTCTCAGACTTTTGAACACCACTATATATGAAATTCTGGTTAGTCATCACTGTCATGCAAACTCAGTATTTCAGACAGTATGTCTAAAATGAAAATGGCATTGTTACACCATCTTACAGTATTAGGTTTGAACATTATAAGATAAGGCTGTTGAGAAGCGTTTTGCAACACTGTTGCCTTGAGCATCATTTGAGCCCATGTTTGTGAGATTAGCCAATTCTTCAGCCCACCAACCACAGCACTGTTGTTTCTCACGATATGCGTCCAGTGGCACAACATATTAACTGCAGCTGATGAGCTCGCCTTGATACATTGCACGCAGACATTATCAATAAAACCAGAAAATGTAAATGCCTGTTGTCAAATAAGCATAAGTCTTAGTGACATTACACAAAGATATTGTAGATAAATGAAAGTTTTTTTGGAAAGTAGTCTTTTTACAGTGATGTTCAAGTAAACAAATTACTGAAATAAATGAACTTTTCCACGACATTCTAATTTATTGAGATGCACCTGTATAAAGCAGGCTCAGTTAAAACAGTTTCAGTTTTTTTGTCATAGCTTTACTTCTTGTCTTTTCATTAAAAAAAAAAATCTCAAAATGTCATACATCCAAATGCCAAGAGTCTAACACTGGAAAGTCATTGGGTTCAACGTGGATGGACCTGAGGCACATGTGCAGACGTGCACAACAGTATTGGGTCTTATAGAATAACATTTTCTTTTATCTGTATTCAACAGAAATTCCCCTGCTGAATTGTAATAGGCTCAGCTGTATTTGGTTTAAGAAATGCATTATGTGTCATAAAGAGAGAGAGGAGGGTAGAAGCACACTGGTTTGATGAAAAATTTTTTTGCAAAGTAAGTCCTGATTTTTAACAATTTAAACAAAAGTTCAAATATATAACGGTTTTAAATGAATGCTGAGGTGAGATAGAGAATCAGCAGCTTGTTGTTTTATGTCTTTTGTTAACAAACCACCAAGGTCTCCACCAAGGCTTTCTGTGAACTACTGAAGAAATTCTCAGTAACGCATGTTGAATGTGTGCTGTGCCAACTCAATCTCATGGCAATTCGTAACTGTAATGTTTTGGCAAATTGGTGGCTAATTTGTATGAACTGATACAATGTCATTAGTATGTTTTTGTACAATATACATAAAGGAATAGTTCACCAAAAAAATTAAAAATTGCTTAAAAATTTCTTGTCCTCAGACCAGGTAAGATATAAATGAGTTTGTTTCTTCATCAGAACAGATTTGGAGGCCTTCCTGATAACGTTCGGGGTTCAGACACACTCTCCCTGTTTAAATCTAGATTAAAGATTGAATGAGACATTTTCATTTTGATCGATTAAGGACTTTTTTAAGGACTTGTATTTTAGCTAGGAGCAATGGTTTGAAGTTAAAAACATCTTAATGATGGATTTGTTTTAACACAGCTTTTCACTTCACAGGGCATTAATTGATAGACTGGTGGAGTCGTGAGGATTATTGTGATGTTTTTATCAGCTGTTTGGACTCTCATTCTGACGGCACCCATTCACTGCAGAGGATCCATTGGTGAGCAAGTGATGTAATGCTACATTTCTCCAAATCTGTTCTGATGAAGAAACAAATTAATCTACATATTGGATGACCTGAGGGTCGTTTTTGAGTGAATTATTCCTTTAAGCCCCAGTGATGTTTATGTTATGGGGTGGACCTTCAAGTTTAGTTAAAAAAAAAAATCTGTTTGTGTAAGATTAACATCGTACAAATTCATATGAAATCTCCACCTCATAAAGTAGTGACATTTTCCTGTGATATCAGGTTGATTGTGCACAGTAAAATATTCATTCTCCAATCAATACAAGGTACACACTTACAAAACCTGTAGCTCTCTATAATGCTATTTCTAAGCCCTGAAACCCAAATTATTGTAATGTGTTTTATTGAAGAACTTTTTTTTCTTAAAAAAAAGAAAGAAAAACACCTTGAAGTGTTGAAATATTCAACCCCAGTGTTACAGCAGCTCCACGCACTCAAATATAAAAAAATAAATGGCCGTAATGAGGACACAGCTGCCTTACACTTGCCTCTCATGTGAATAATTAAAATAACTACCGTGTTTCTGTGTAAAAACCACACAGATAAGAGCTCATTATTCAGGCAGGAAAATGTGAAAATGAAGAGCATTCCTAATAAAATGTTCAATAAAATAGTTATTTTTAGGACAAGGTAGCCTACAAAACAATATCCAAATGTCTGCAGTGGGCAGTATTATTATGAGGAGTTATCAGGAAGTGAACACGACATCAAAACCGCCTGACCACATTAAGAGCTTTGAATAACACTGGCCTATGAGGGAAGGCGGCAGAAAAAAAAAAGCCATTACTTCGACAGAACCATGTGGAACAAACATTAATAGTGACCTAGCTGCAATGTGGGAGAAGGTAGTACGCTCTGATGTGACTGAGATAGAGTTTGTTAATCCCAAATTCAAAGTCGTATGTGCAAATCTGACACTTCCTACACCTCAGAAAGCATATAGTTCATTGTGAAGTATATGGTGGTGGCAGCCTCTTGCTGAGGGGCTGCTTTTCATCAGCAGGAACTGGACATCTTACGAGGGAAATGGATGGTGCAAAATACGGAGAAAGGCTGCAAGAGATACACATGAGCAAATCAACCCTGGAGTAGCTTGAGATAAACAGTTTGTCGTACAATGGCCATGACAATTCTAATGATGAACTGGGGTACTATTTGAAAGCAATGGTGCTCAGTGCTACTCCATATTTCATGTAGTTAGTAACAGATCAGAATACCATTTTGATGAAGCAGTTACATGTGCTTTGATTTTTTTTTTTTATATACGCCAACAAAAATCAGCTGGTGTTTAACAAGCACAAGCACAATTAGGATGTAAATAAGGGTGTCAAATGTGATGTGGAGACTTCTGGGAATACGTTTGAGTGATGATGACTCAAACAAAACATTGAATCAGTTTAATGAACCTGCCAATTGAAATGAACCATGTCAAAACAAAATTCTCTGAAATGATTGTGACTTGCAGCTCTACGCAGTGAACTGGAGTCATTTAGTGTGATGTACAAACAGCGATGATAGTCTGAATATGAATATTTCTGAATGTGAACTGTATATGAGTAATTGTGTTATGTTTAATTGAATTATTACAGTATAAGACGAAGCAACTCTTAAAAAGGAGATGGCAGGATATTATGCACCAGTTTTAATTGATTACAAGAAAAACATGAGCATAAAATTTGTAGAAAATCATTTCATAATACAACATTTGGCAAACATCTTGTACAACTTGCTTTCCTTTGTTTAAAGTTTTGAGATTGAGAAATTTGTGGTCATAATTCAGGATCTGGTGTGTCACTTTATATAATATAATCAGTATAATCAACATATTGTATATTATGCAAAACATTTATTAACATGAACAACAGATAGCTACATTATGAGCTCAGTACAGGTATTTTGTACATCATGGGCCCTTGTCAAAACATCAGTTTCTAAAAGATGATATATAAATTAATTCTCTGTTCTTTGGTCTCTTTGGTCTCACTATAATTTGGAGAATCACACATAAGTTTGATCAGATAAAACATAGAGTAACATTATTACCAAAGAAATAAACAAATGCACAACATATTTGCCTAACAAATTTACCGCAGAAGGCCAAATGCAAGAAGTGTCTAATAATAAACCTTTCCATTGTTTGTGTAATGTACCGGTGAAACGTCTCAGGTTACTTATGTAACCATGGTTCCCTGAGTTCCAGGTTTTTTATGACCGTACGAACCCTAATGTGATGATCGGGTGCGGTTATCTAAATCAGACAAAAATACAGGTGCGGGCGGTTGGCGGGTGGATAATTTATTTGAAGCTGCGGATTCGGGTGACGTTTTAGCTCATCCGCGCATCACTAATCTGGACACTCCCTCACATTCTCTAGCCATTAAAACAATAACATAATGGGAGTTTTTTTTTTTTTTTTTTAAAAGAAGATCATCAGAAACATGAGATCAGTCCAGTGTGTCCAAGCATTTGACTGGCAGTGCAATTTTAATTATATGCAAGTGTAATGTTCCCATCTACATGCAGTATATTACGTCATATTTTTGCCCTTCACATGGCTGAATATTTATGTAATGGGCTGTAAACTGAATTTAGTAACACGTTACAATAATTTGTTAACACTAGTTATCTGCATTAGTCGAACTAACAATGAAAAACAAGCATTTATTAACCCTTTAGTTAATGTTAATTTCACCACTGAATACATTAAAAACAAAAGTTGTATCTGTTAATATTATTTAAAGCG